GCAATATTATACGTACTTAAGGTCAAGACACATAAGTGTGCTAAAGGGCACGTCACATAAAAGTGTGCTATGCTATATTACACGCCTCCCTCAAAGTTGAAAACTTACTTTAGTTTTATACAAATTCATTTACATTTGTTCATTTTTACATTTGTTTTTTTTTGTAATAATACTAGTTCAAAAAATTTACATTTGTTTTTTTGTAATAATACTAGTACAAAAAATTTACATTTGTTTTTGTAATAATAATTTTGAAATATTTACATTTGTTTTAGTTTATGTTCTTCTCTTTAGAAAAAAAAATTTATAAAAAACTATTTTTTTTACGGCTTTGCCGTCTTGGCGTGGTCTTAAGGCACGCTTAGGTGTTATATCATCAACCGTCTGAGGCGTATTCTCTTTAGTGCTAGTTTCATTACTACTTTTGCTGGTAGATTGGTCATTTATAACCAAAGTATTGGGATTAGCCTCAGCGCTATTGTTTGAAGTAGCTTCTGATTCAGATACTTCAATGGTGTTTGCCGATTCAGACGCTTCATTAGAGTTGCGTGGTCGAATTTGATTAAGATGTCTTTTGATTGTTCTATTATTTAACAATGTACAGCAGTATGACCTAGGGCCTAACTGTTCTCGAATTGTACCTGGAGACCAGCTAGCTTTATTGGGATTACTGTAGTCACGAATCCAAACTTTTTGACCCTGACTCAGTTCTAATTCACGTTTTCCATGGTAGTTGCGTTCACTAATCTCTTGTTTTTCAATAATTTTTTGCTTTACTAAAGGAGGCTTAAGAGTAGAAAACGAGTCTTGAGTTGTCTACCAAAAAAAATTTTAGCTGGAGACTCTCCTGTGGTACAGTGTACTGAGTTCCGATAGTCTGCCAAAAATCGATTAATTATGTTGTCAATGTCAGCATTAACATTGGCTTTCAGACAAGCATGAAATGATTTTTTAACAGTTTTTACAAAATTTTCAGCTTGACCGTTTGATGCAGGGTGACCAGGTGGTGTTAACGTTTGTTTTATTCCATTGCAACGTAAAAATTCCTTGAAATCAGCTGAAGTGAATTGTGAGCCATTGTCAGTGACCAATACATCCGCCAGTCCAAAACGACTGAAAGTTTATCTTAATTTACTTATAACAAACTTGGATGTTATGTCTTTGGTCTTAAATATCTCCACCCATTTGGAATAAGAGTCAATGACAATAAGAAAATGAAAATTTTTAATAGGTCCAGCAAAGTCTAAGTGAATTCTACTCCAAACAGAATCTGTTGGTTTCCACGAAATTAACTTACTCTTTTCAGGACTAGACTGCAGAACTTGACAAGGTTTACAACTTTTTATCAACATCTCGATATCATTATCTAACCCTGGCCACCATACATAGGATCGCGCGAGACCTTTTGTTTTAACTATACCCAGATGAGATGCGATTCTAAGACCGATTGTATTAGTTTCTGTGGAATGACCGTTCTATAACCCCACATGATACATCCATATTCAACGCTCAACTGGTCTGCCTTGTCGCGATATGCTTTAAAACTTTCATTTTTTACATTTGGTAATGTACCACTTTGAATTGCTTCAAGCAGTCTTGAAAACAAAGGATCTCGTTTGGTTTCTCTTGCGATATCATTAAAACTTAAAGAAATGTGATTGTCAGACTCAACAAAATTTATATAATTACATTCTGGTAAATCTTTACCAATAACAGATTGTGGAATTCTTGATAAGTTGTCAGCATCATTAAGGCTGCCCTTGACATACTCTACAGTATAATTAAAACCAGATAGAATTAGTGCCCACCTTTGAACACGAGCAGATGCCATAACAGGTAAACCCTTAATTTCACTGAAAACTGACACCAGTGGTTTGTGGTCTGTTAACAACTTGAATTTGTTACCTAATAGGTATTGTTTGAGTTTAGTTACTGAAAATATAATAGCTAGTGCTTCCTTTTCTAAAGTGCTATAATTCTTTTCACTTTTGCTTAGAGCTCTAGAAACAAAAGCTATGGGTCTCAAAGAATTATCAGGAAACTTATGCGACAAAACTTCCGCTACTGCGTTATTACATGCATCAGTAGTCAATACTATTGGTAAGTTTTGATTAAAATGAACCAGAACTTGATCGGAACATATATCATTTTTTATCTCTTCATAAGCTTTCTGACACTTCTCTGACCACACAAATTTAACATTCTTTTGAAGTAATTCGTATAAAGGTGACATTTTATGTGCAAAGTTTTTAATAAATTTTGCATAATAATTTACCATGCCCGCAAAGGCTTTTACTTCAGAAATATTTTTAGGAATAGGGGCATCTTTTAGGTTTTTTATTCTTTCATCAGTTTTGGTTAAACCGTTCTTATCTATGGAAAATCCTAGATAGGTGATTTTTTCTTGAAAGAAAACTGTCTTTTTCGAATTTAAAGTTAAGTTCGCTGATCTTAATTTCTCCAATACAAGTCTTAAAGTTTTTATATGCTCTTCCATATTTTTGCCTGTAATAGTAATATCATCTTGATAAACTACGACGTTTGCGATGTTACGCAATAAGCTTTCAATAGCTTTTTGAAATATTGCAGCTGCAGGCTTGATACCAAACGGCAAACGAGTGACTTTGAGACTGCCTATGTGTGTACTCCACGTACATAATAATTGTGATGCTTTATCTAACTCTAATTGGTTATACGCATTCGATAAATCGAGCTTAGTAAACAATTCCCCACCTTGTAGAGATGCAAAAATTTCTTCAATACGCGGCAATGGATATTTTACGTCAACTAAATACTTGTTCAAAGTTACTTTGTAATCAGCAGATATTCTCAAATCACCGTTTGGCTTCAAGACTGGGACTAAAGGTGTACCCCAGTCAGAATGATCAACCAACTCAAGAACTCCTTGTTTTATTAAATCACGTAATTTTGTTTCGACTTTGTCTTTCCATGCCAATGGCAATGGACGCGGTTTAAAAAAAATTGGTTTCGAACCTTCAATAATAGATAAAGATACTTTGCTCACATTGTATTTACCAAGTGAGTCTTGAAAAACATTTGAAAATTCACTCTTAATATTTCGAGCTAACTCCTCTTTAGTAAGATTGTTAATTGAATTGACTTGTAAAAGTTCAAAATTGAACGCGCGTAAAAATGATCTACCTAACAGAGGTGGGTTATCATGTTTGGTCACAACTACAGTAATCTCTTTCTTAATACCCAAGTACATAATCTGTGCATTGTACTCACCAACAATTTGTATGCGATCACCACTATAATCAAGATAGGGTGTGTTACACTTACGAATAGTTTTGTTAAAATGTTGTTTGAAAAATTTCTCTGATATCAGCGTACACGGTGCACCTGTATCGCAGGCTGCTCTAACCTCAATACCATCAAACGACACAGAAAGAGAATACACCTCATTCGGCTTTTGATCATTTACACTAAAAATAGAATAATTAAAAATATCATCTTTGCAATCATCTTCAACCTTACTACTATTAGATACGTAATTTAATTGTACTTTCATCCGGCATACAGAAGCAAGATGTCCAATTTTACCGCATGAATTGCATTTGCTTTTCTTGAATTTGCATTTTTCGGACTCATGGTTACGCCAACCGCAATGACTACACGTTTTTCGCTCGTTTTTGTTAGATTGACTCGCATCTTTGTTGTAATTTTTCTTCTTTTTCATGAAATTCACGCTAACCTCATTTTTATTTTCGGCCTTTGCCGCCATTTTGCACTCCAGAACCATTGCTTTTCTTAAAGCCTCTTCACAAGTAATAGTTTCAGTTTCTTCACACAACTTTTCGTATATTTTGGTCTTTGCCCCAACGATAAATTGATTTAAAATGAATGCATTTAAATTTTCTGCAAATTTGCAGGTTAACGCAAGCTTTTTTACACGAGTGTACCACTCTGCCGCAGTTTCGCTATCTAATTGTTTGGATAGATGAAACTTTTTTCGTTCTTGGAACACAATTACTGGGGGCGTATAATGTGTCTCTAAAATTAGGCACAATTCTTTAAAAGTTGTTTGTCGAGGAGTTTTCGGACTACATAAACTGTGTAGTGTACTATATGCGGCCGTACCCACCGTCTTCAGCAACACATTCTTCTTTTCTTCCTCTTCTTCACATTTTATTTCAGCTAAGTGAATGTCTAGTTTTTCGCGCCATATTGCCCATGTCTCCATGCTGGGCTCAAATTGTGGTACCACCATCATCAATTTCATTAATTCTTCCATGTTGAATTATTGTATTTTTTTCTTTTGACTCGTCGCCAGTTTGTAGTATATTCGTACTTAGGAATATCCACTTCAAATAGTACACATATATTGTAAATGGTGATTTTTTAAGAGCTTGATAACTTTTTTTTAAAAAAAAAACGCATAAAATTTGCAACATCTCATCGGTTCTTTATTTGAAACGTTAGATTGGTCCATGACATTTACTTTTTGAAGATAATTTCATTTAAATGTTGACCGCGGCTGCGTCTTAGGTGGTCCATTCGGAAAGTCCAATTTTGGGCAACTTTTTCGAGCATTTCGGCCGGAATAGCCCGAATTTCTTCGGAAATGTTGTCTTCCAAAGCTGGAATAGTTGCTGGCTTATTTCTGTAGACTTTAGACTCGACGTAGCCCCACAAAAAATAGTCTAAAGGCGTCAAATCGCATGATCTTGGTGGCCAACTTACCGGTCCATTTCTTGAGATGAATTGTTCTCCGAAGTTTTCCCTCAAAATGGCCATAGAATCGCGAGCTGTGTGGCATGTAGCGCCATCTTGTTGAAACCACATGTCAACCAAGTTCAGTTCTTCCATTTTTGGCAACAAAAAGTTTGTTAGCATCGAACGATAGCGATCGCCATTCACCGTAACGTTGCGTCCAACAGCATCTTTGAAAAAATACGGTCCAATGATTCCACCAGCGTACAAACCACACCAAACAGTGCATTTTTCGGGATGCATGGGCAGTTCTTGAACGGCTTCTGGTTGCTCTTCACTCCAAATGCGGCAATTTTGCTTATTTACGAAGCCATTCAACCAGAAATGAGCCTCATCGCTGAACAAAATTTGTCGATAAAAAAGCGGATTTTCTGCCAACTTTTCTAGGGCCCATTCACTGAAAATTCGACGTTGTGGCAGATCGTTCGGCTTCAGTTCTTGCACGAGCTGTATTTTATACGGTTTTACACCAAGATCTTTGCGTAAAATCGACATTTCACGGTCTTCAGCAACACTCTCAGAAACAGACGCAATATTCTCTTCTGTACGCACTGTACGCATTCGTGTGGTTGGTTTAATGTCCAATAAAGTAAACTGAGTGCGAAACTTGGTCACAATCGCATTAATTGTTTGCTCACTTGGTCGATTATGTAGACCATAAATCGGACGTAAAGCGCGAAACACATTTCGAACCGAACACTGATTTTGGTAATAAAATTCAATGATTTGCAAGCGTTGCTCGTTAGTAAGTCTATTCATGATGAAATTTCAAAGCATACTGAGCATCTTTCTCTTTGACACCATGTCTGAAATCCCACGTGATCTGTCAAATACTAATGCATGAAAATCCTAACCTCAAAAAAATCACCCGTTACTTACAATATATATACTTATAAAAAGCCGGAGGAAAAGAAATTACTTGAGCACGTTGCTTAGTGGTAGAAAATGTAGTGGTGGTTTATTCACATGTATATCGATAATTCTAGTGTTGGGTTTATTAACAATGGAGCGTTCGAG